GATCTTGAAGGCATTATGCTTAGTGAAACAGATAAGACATATAAAGACAAATACCATACGATCTCACTTACACATGGAATCCAAAAAAAACACACAAAAACCACACTCAAAGAAAAAGAGACCAGACTCGCGGTTGCAGTTACTAGAATTGGAGGGCGTGGGAAGGAAGAATTGGAGGAAAGTGGCCAGAAGGTAGACATTTCCAGTTATATGATAAATAAGTACTAGAGATGTAATGTACAATATGATGACTGTAGCTAACACTGCTGTATAATATACAGGAACGTCATTGAGAGAGTAAATCCTATGAATTCTCATCAGGAGGAGAACATTTAAAAACTTTTTTCTTTCTTTTATTCTTATTGTATGTATATGAGAAGATGGATATTAGCTGAACTTATTTTAGTAGTCATTTCATAATATATTTGAATCAAACCATCATTCTGCACACCTTTAACTCATACAATGATGTATGTCAGTTATTTCTCAATAAAACTGGGGAGAAAAAGTCATAATATTTTTATTCTGAAGGTAAAAAGATAAAGGTATAACATGTACATTTCCTTCTTCCCCCAAACCAAGCTACTGCTTCTTTCAGTGTACATTATGATCATTTACTTAAAGTTTTAAAAACAGAAAGGATTGGGAATGCTGGAGGAAATTGACACATATTTACATATATTATTCTTGAAATAGATGGAGAGATAATAAGTACAGACAATAAGCAAATACTCTTTCTCTGTAGAAAGGATAAGACTACAAATAAAATTACTTCAGACATAGGTACAGGATACTACATGGAAATGAGAGAAATGCCTTTCTTACAAGTATTTTAAGAAAAGATTATTTTCTAAGATATTTTAATTGTGATTATGTCTAAAGTTAGAGGGATGAACTTTGACCTCTGAAGTCTCATCCAATTTATATAACACACCACTCACACATTTACACACACACATACATGTGTATACATGAGTGAAGGGATTCAGATAAATATGCATTCTGTCAAATATACTTATCTTCATTTTATATTTGAATAATTTTAAGATACTCCAGGAAAAAGACATAGCTCATGAAGTATAAATTTTTGAATGATTCAAACTGCCCTAATACAAATACTTAAAATTCAAACATTTTAAAATGAGAATCTGTCTTCGAAAAATTCTAAAATACCAACACCTTTGAGCAATTCACTCTTTAATTTCTTGTTTTGTTTTTGAGATCATGAGAAAATCTGTGTCAAGACACAAGGAGCTTTGGGCAATCAAAGGGAAATGATAAACAATAGTGGAGGGAAATTATTTAAGTGAATCCATCTGTTTTGTGTTGTAAAACTCTCAGTTTAATTTTAATTGAACAAAATAGGCACCAGCATGTCTGATAAATACATGCCTCTTTTCCATACCCACAGGAAAACAGACGTTTTTTCCAAAACAGAAAGCATATCTAAAATACAGAGAAGGCAAAAAAAAATTTAAAAAATCACAATACCATAATTAAAGTTCTCTTTCATTTCAAATTTTCTATAGAGAAAACGCAGTCTAACTTTTAGGTGTAGAGAGATCTGCAATCATTGTAACAAGGTTATAAGAATCATAAAAAGCTAGGTAGGAAGGGAATACTGCAAAGTGCAATAAGTATGAATTAGAGGAATTTTAAAAGCAGAATGACATAAACGGCAGCTCTACATTGTCAGTGACTCATAATAGAAAAGCAAGATAGAAAATGCAAATTATATTTAAATCTGTTTTTATGTTTTAATCAAAGGACTCCTGTGTGATTTCATCCATTTATTTTCTATTAGTAGCTGCATAATTACAGGTGTGTTTCAACTATTTAAAAATGCTGATTGATTGAAATAGAGGACACACTGTTTATTTGATTTGGGTAAAGAACAGATTTCATTGGTCCCCTCTGACCCAGGTCGTTTGTCTTTAGTGTTTCTAGTCCCTGTGTCATGCTCGCATCTTCCTACCTCTTTCGCCTACTGCTTCTTAAGTCCTCCTTAGACTCTCCTCACGTCTGCCATATAAAGGGACTTTTCCTGGTCTCTGTCCACATAGTTAACTGAAAACCAGGTAGCATCATAGTCAATTACATCAAACACAGCAAACCTGCTTGGCTCAGTCAACCCCTCCAACATGCCATCAATGCAGGGAAACAAGGGACTCAAAACAAAAGGAAGGGTCCATCTGATCTGGGAGAACTGTAATGGAATTCCAGCTCTGGGACTTCTTGATGGATTTTTTTCCCCTTTTGGCAGACTTTCAGGGATTTGTCTAGTTGAATTCAGCATACAGAGGCTATAGGTGATTTTACAAACATTTTCTCTGCTGTGCTAGCAGGTTTAAGATGTTACAATCTCTTCCCAAGTAATCATGGTGGAGATAGTGTATTATATCGCAATAATGGAGAGAGGCTCTTGCCATGCCTGCGGCTCTCATGTCCACCATTTGTCTCTGGGATATCGCAGGTGGGCATTGTTTCCCATTTACACTTTGCCTTTTCTTCCTGAATGCAGTCATGTGACTGGGGAGTGGGACAGAGGAAGATGAGGTTGGTCCTCATATCTGTTCCATCGTTTGCTTTATTTCCAGTGGATATGCTAACTTTCAGGGTTAAAAAAAACTGATGTGTAATGGACACGTAAGAATGTATTAGTTTCAGGTGTACACCACCAGGATTCAATATGTCTAGACCAATTTTAAGATATATCTGCTGCCAAAGCAAACACAATTTTCAGCTTCCTGACTATCGTTCTGGTTACTTTAATTTTATTACCTAAATAAACTAAGAGAAAGAAAAGCAAATCCTTCCATTATCTTGTACTCAGCCAAGAACAGGACACCCCCCCCAAAATCCTAATTTTAAATCATCTCATTTTGTTCTCAATTTTTCTTCTAGTATAAAGTCATTAGGACAAAAAAAAAAAAAGGATTCAGAACCAATTGTGTGAGCCTGGGCAAGTTACTTAACATTTCTGTGTCTCGGTTTCCTCATCTGAGTCCCTCTCCTGAGCTACACCAGAATGCAAAAACACTGAAATTCATATTTCATCCCTTGAATTATACATTATTGTCTGGTATTTAAATTCTGTTCTCAAAAACTCTTTAAAAATACCCATTACATATATGTATATAGTGTTTGTTTGATGGGCTCGTGGCTTTCAAATTTATTTATTTACTATTTAAGGTGGCCTCTTGAAATATTAGTGGAATGTAAGTACTTACTCTCAACTCTCTCAGAAACATTACCATTTTGAGTACTTGTGCTTCTGGCTACAATGCAGTAATTTGTAGTAAATCTATGACTTCTTTGAGAACAAATACAAAAACTGAGTTAAAAACAGCTATAAAGGCAAGGTAACCAGTTCAGGGGGACTAGGTTCTCAGAGAAAAGATAATCTCAAAAGGGGGAGCCAAAATCCTGTGAACTGTTCTTCCCTTCAGACCATTACTTACTGACTATTGGCATGGAGCAAAAGGCTACGAATCCACGCAGAAGAATGCAGCCAAGCTTTCAGCAATGCATGCCGTGAAGCAGAGGACACAGAAACAGGAGTTTGGGGTTGCCATGGCAGCCAGATCTCGACTGTCTAACAATCCAGTGAGAACGGGGCAGTTTTCCCCTCGAACTATCTGGTGAATTCTTCAACTGCTGTAAAAGGAGATCAAGGAACTAAGCAGGGAGCTACCAAAAATGTCATCAGTTGTCTGCAGTGCTAAGAGGTGAATACTTGGAGTTAGGATGTTTCAAGAAGGAGAGGGAGTAAACACCCTAAACTCTCAATTGTGATTTTTGAAGAGGGGTTCAGTCTGGAGACAGAATCTGACAAAAACTGTATTCCACTTCTGCGTCAGCAAGATTACGATTCAATGAAGTAGCCTTCCCTGAAACCATTCCACTTTCCTTCCTGACACTTTCTGGTTCTTAATTTTGATATGTAAATTCCTTACCACAGCTCCCAGGTCCTGTGTACGTATCTGTTTTCGCCTTTCTTCTTGCTAACTTTGCCACCACTGAGAATCTTCAGTTCCTTAAGCTTTCTCCCCATGTGTTGGGTCTTGTATCTCTTTTCCTTATCTTTCACTATTTGAAAGTCTTCCCCACTTCCTTATATAGTAATAGCTGTTGTTCTATTTATATTCTCCACTAGAATGAAATGAGAATTCTGCGAGGAGAGGAGCTAGATTTGGCTTATTCACTGCTATACTCCTGCAACTTCTGAGATAGTGTTGAGATAGTCAGGACTCCTCAAAGATTTCTGGAGTATATGAAGCTTAAGGGAAGGGACAAGCTGATGTTTGAAAGTATATGGGCTGCACTGACACCAGCCGGGAAACCTCCAGGCAGTAGTTAGAGGCCAGATCAGAGATGGGAGAAATCACATCAAATTTCATTTTGCATCTGTCTGAAAGGGTCAGAAAGCCTCTTGCCCATGGTGTTGCTGACTTGTGGACTTTTCCAGAGGGCTATCAGAGATCCTGACTTGTATTTTCTCCAAATTTAAATAACACTTCCTTTCCTTACCTAGATATCCAGAGGGGAGGGAAGTTAATGACATAAAGTAAGAATTTCTTTGAAAAATTTATAATACATATAGTAAATGAAGCATTTCCCTGAACTCATATAAATACTATCCTGAAAAAACATTTTCTCTTGACACCAAAATAAAATTGAACTTCAATAAGTCCATCATTAGTTTTTATATTATGAGACAATGCTTCCACCTTACCCTCAATGGGGGACACTGATTTTCCATTCATCCAATAAGTTCAATGTAGCGTATCTGGTACAGCAACCTGGAAAGAATCTGTTTCATCACATAAAGTAGAAACTCAAGTGACTAATTTGTTACTGAGGCTTTTCCTTTTTAGAACAGTCAAACTAAACAAATCCAAGTGTCAGGCATCCTCAGAATCTTAATTTCAACACTTAAGGCTTCCATCACTCCAGGACTGCATACTCAGAGTGAAGTCTTCTCCCAATAAGTTACTTACCTGGTCGATTTGGCTTTTTAGCCTTTATGTGGTTAGCTGCGGACACAGCATAGGACGAAGTGAAGGATCTGCTTTTGGTGAGGGTCGTCATCACTGGGTTATTCCAAGAATCAGAACTAACAGCACTATGAAGACAAAGCACAAAGAAAAATGAAGAAATTATTCATCAGTTATTCAGCCATAATACAACAATCATCTATTTCCATAGCAGACTTGCCAATCTGAACCACGGTTCAGGTTCAGTGACAGAACCACTTTATTTCCAAAAGACGAATAGGTTATTTCTACTGCAGGTTATCTCTGCTGTGGTAGTCACCCATCAAACACACTGAATCAACAAAAGAAGGAAGGTAACTTTCCTATTTATCCAATTAACAGGAATCAAACACCTCATTCTACCACTATGATCATGTTCTTCATAGATGTTTTAAATACTCGGCAATTTAACTGGTTATGATACAGGTGATCTTATGTTAGTTATGAATGGGGTGATCCTTTCTTCTATACTCTTTATTATTTATTATTCTCAGTGTATCTAAATTCAAAAATAAAGTGCTTATAAAATCACTCAGTGATAATGTTCTTTGCAGTATTTCTTTGTGATGGAAAAGGGTAAGACAGGAGTTAGCCTACAATTTCTTCCCGGTAATATCCTGGAAAGAAAGGGATGACCAGCTAAAGCCCCTAGAAAACATGCTAACACTGGACCTGATGCTTAAACACATTATGCTCTTTACTGGAGAAAGGTAGTGGACAGTGCGTCCTTATCTAGGGAATTCTTTCAGCAGTATATTCTTAGTCTGCTAGGTTATTATTGTAAATCAATCTGGAATTAATAAATCTATGGAAGGCGGGGACAGAGAATGTTATATAGCATGTGATTAATGGGACATAAATTTTGAAGGTGATCCAAACCAAAATTTATCTGCCTGCATGGCTCAAAACCTTATATATTAAATCTGAAACAGAATCCACTGTAATTTGAGAGAAAAAACAATTTAGGAAGCCATGCTGACGATCTTGGGCTGCTCCAGGGAAAAAGCGCTCTATCTGTGTTTTGTAAACACTTGTGCACTTTGAAGCATTAGTACCTCTGGCACTGGGTAAAATCTATCATTAGCATGAATATAATGTGACAATTTGTTCCTCCGCCAATCTTAGATTTACACTGTAAGTGGGACATACCTGGTCTATCTGGGTGGCTTAAATAATCCTGAAGTTGATGAAATCGTGGGGTAGTGAACGAGTGGAGATTGTCATGTAAACTGTATAATTAATTAGGAGTTAATTTGAAGGTGCTCCATAACCAAAATGGCTTTCCCTATGCAATCAACATTATACATGCAGTGCTTAGAATCCTGTGTGTTAAATCCAAACCCGAGCATGTGCTTAATGCGGAGTCAAAGGACTTTTAGGGCGCTACGCTAACAGTTTCACACCTCTGGAGGGGAAGAATGCTGCCCATGGGCTTTGTTATTGCCGGTGTCCTTTCACTATTGGTAAATTTAGCAATGAGTAAGATATATAACTTGTGATGAGTCCGACTTAAGACTTTGACATGTATGTTACCTGATTACTTCCCTTTTTTATTGCTATTTTCAGAGTTTTCCTCAACTGTTGACCCAGGTATATTTAAACTTCATCTTTTCCTCTCACTTCTAACAGCAGTTTACAAAGTATACCATAAACAGGCAACTGAAATATGGACTACACTCCAGCAATTATCAAATGCAGTTAAGGAAAAGTGTACGAGTGGTATTTGTTTCGTATCCTTTTTGGAAAACTCATTCTAGGCTTTCTAGGCATTTCAAAAATGACGAGAACTCTGAAACACTGAAATCAAATAGAACTTTGAATGAGATAGATAACTACACTATTTCCTTATAACCTCATTTCCCTTTCAATTTATTTTGCTGGATTGACTTTTAAGACTTACTGTGAAGAAATTTTATGTAATGTACATGCGGTCTAGAAGTTTTAATTTCTCAGTACATTATACAATGAATAGGTTATTGCTTTCCAATGTAGATTTGTAAAAGATAAGACCTTAAATTAATTGCATTTATTTTAACTTGTATAGTTTTCAGATTTCAAAAAGTTATATTACAAAGGCTAGCTCAAGAACCACCTACTGTTTTATTCTTAAAATAACATTTAAAATGTGTTGTTTTTGAAAAATTCCTAAAGCATAATAATATAGTACCTTTTATATATGAGAAAATTCACGAACTTCAAGATAAATAAAATTCTAGCCATATATTTCATTCTTAATATGATAAATATTAATTTATTAAAATACCTGTTATTGGTAACATAATAAATCAACATATGTATAGAGTGTATTCATTACATATGTATGCAGNCTGCCTAATACCCAGAGGCAGGGGTCAATTCCAAGGTTGACTGGAATGATTAGGGTGTGACTGATTTCAGACTTTTCTTTCTCTTAAGACTTCTTTTTAAAGTATTAACTGGTATTCTTCTACCCAATTTACCTCCCAATCATGCCACAGTTCCTAGTTCCTCCTAAGGATTCCCTGCAGTGGGTACTGAGGCTCAGGCTGAGGACCTGCATCTCTGCGTGGTTAGGCCAAGATCCTTCTGATTCTCAGTCCAGTAACCTTTCTACACGCTCAGGAGTAAACCATCCAACTATATACCGAAAAGGAGACAAGCTGAGGACTGTTTCTAATTTTCACTTCCCACGCTCATTTTTCTTCTGATCACTGCAGTCCTCAAAGAGCCTCACTAAAGGGATAGACATGGAAAGGAAGAAAAGGGCTCCAAGGGAAGAGACTACAAAAGGGAAAACTCAAATCAGTTTTGCAATCATTCAGCAGCTTTCACAATGGGTTTCCTAAGTGCAGAAGCCTTTATCTTCGGTTTATAAGCAGGGCTGGAGATTATCTGTGCTTATCTTTTCATTACTGGTTAACCAAAGCTAGCTGTATCTAATGGAGCCACTGACTTATATATGCTTTTCCCTTAAAGGGGGCAAATTCTCTTTGGATTGGGTTTCATTTCATCAAAATGGTGAAGAAGTTGTATCACTCTCAGACTTACATTAGAACTTTTAAATAGGACAATGAAATTAAGTAACAGTTAAGTTAGACAGTGGGAAAAAGTATACCCAGGCAAGACATCTATGAGTATTTTTAGGACAAAGAGAATGAGTGGGATCATATGCTATTCCTTACGTAGTTCGAAAAAATTTGAGTATCAGTTTTTGTTTCATAAAGTAACAGGCCCCTTGGGAGGTAAGCTCACAAAAGTTCTCCTCATGATGATTTCAATTTCAGCCCCCAGTCACATTCAACTAAGAAAAGACAGGAGTAGGAGAAATGGAATATGGCCAAAAGCAACACATGACAACAGAAAGTAAGAAGACATTTAAGACCTTATGAAACAATTTTTGGTAGTGTCATTCTATGGAAAGAAAATCATGGAGCGTTAAGTGTATATGACTTGTCAAGGAATCTTGTCAAGGTGTGTTGGTAAAACAGGCAGTGTCTCTAAAGATGCACACTGAGAACATAATTCATTTTCTAAACAGATACTGAACTGTAATACTATTTACTACCACTTATTTACTGCTTATTTCGGCATTTGCTGCTGTAGAAATTGACAAATAGTGTTTACAAAGGAAAATATTATCAATGATTTGTAATTTCAAACATTAGAAAATGTTCATGAAACAGACTGGGTATCATCCTCCTGTGATGATATTTACAAGTTTTACAAACGTCCAGGTAATAACGTGGAATTACACTGATATGTGAAAGAATCAAGATTTCCTTCCTATTCCATAGATTGTTAAGTGTATATGACTTGTCAAGGAATCTTGTCAAGGTGTGTTGGTAAAACAGGCAGTGTCTCTAAAGATGCACACTGAGAACATAATTCATTTTCTAAACAGATACTGAACTGTAATACTATTTACTACCACTTATTTACTGCTTATTTCGGCATTTGCTGCTGTAGAAATTGACAAATAGTCAGTGTTTACAAAGGAAAATATTATCAATGATTTGTAATTTCAAACATTAGAAAATGTTCATGAAACAGACTGGGTATCATCCTCCTGTGATGATATTTACAAGTTTTACAAACGTCCAGGTAATAACGTGGAATTACACTGATATGTGAAAGAATCAAGATTTCCTTCCTATTCCATAGATTTATTAGACTACCAATGTTAATAGGGAGGAAACCAGTTAACATATTTTTAATCAAGAAAGCAAGAAAAGTCAGCAGTCACTAAAATTCTTATGATTTGAAAGATTTCCATTTCTCTGCCAATCTCAGAATGTTGCTTTATTTATAGTCAAGTTGAAGATTAGGAGAAAATTACTTCTTATATTGCCATTATGTAGTTCAACAAAGATGTTATCTTTCATTCTTTAGGTCATTAATAAAACCGAAGCAAATATTTCAAAAACCTGAAATCATGTGGTAAATGTTCTCATAATCATTGAATTCATATAAAATATGCTATTTTTATTCTAAATAGAAAAGGACAAATAGCCTCTTTAAAAGAAACTCCTTCATTATGATGTTGCCTTCAAAATTCTTTCTAGATCTTAACATTATCTTTCCTTTACCTTTGGTAATTCTGGCTTTTAAGCCACTTTGTAAAATTGAAATTAATATACTAAATGAAGTTTATTAATTTTTTATTAATTTATAGTTGATATATAATATTATATTAGTTCAAGGTATACAACATAATGATTTGATATTTATATATATTGTGAAATGATCACCACAGTAAGTCCAGTTAACATCCACCACCACTCACAGTTACAAAATTTGTTTCTTGTAATGAGGTTTAATATCTGCTCTCAACATTTTCAAATAGGCAATGCAGTATTATTAACATAATGTAACATGTTGTACATTGCATCTCCATGACTCATGTACTTTATAACTGAAGGTCTGCACATTTCAATTCCTTAACCCATTTTACCCCTCACTCCCATTCCCATGCTTCTGTCAACCAACAATCTGTTTTCTGTCTAAATAAACTCTAAGTTACCAAATGTGTGAACATATGTAGTTGCTTTTAGGATGATTATCTACTTTTTGATCTGATCTTCTGCCTTTCATATTTCAACAAGGATAGCTGGTCTGGTGAGCTGGGGGAAAATCTAATAATCATTTGCAAATCTCAGGTTGGATGACTTTAAGGATCTCTATATGGATCCCAGTCTAGGTAAAATCTAGCCTACCATCTGGGCTCAATCCTTCCATCTAAAGTCACCAGTAAGCATCACCTCAATGAAGTCACTGTCAACATTTACATTTAAGACCACACAACACAACTTAAGCCTGATGTTGATCCCTGCACTGCTCTGCATTTAAACCACACGCCTTTCTCAAAGCCAGTCTCCAGCCAACTGTAACTGGTTAGGCGTCCCTTACCCTGTAACTTAGCTGGGTAAGTAACTTCTCTGAGAGATACAAAACCAACAGGGGTATTGCCTGACCTGGATGAAGGTGCTTCATGCAGTTTGATGCTGGCACTACGGTCCCTCCGTACTGGGGCGGGCTCCAGAGTGGGAAGGCCAGTGGCCGACGTGGTGGTTGTCCATGTTGATGAAACTCGTCTCAACAAACCCGGGGGCAAACTCCTTCTCAGGCGCTAGGAAGAAGGAGTGCTGACTTCATTACCAAGCATTTTTTTCTATTACTAACTTCCATAATACAATGGCAGAGAATGGGTTTTTAATTCAAAGTAAATTTATTAAGCCAAACTGGTTAATATCACCTACCTAAAATTTGGATATTCAGAAATACAATAAATCTCTGGCCAAAATGAATATTACAAAATTAACATTTTGGAATAATTTTTAGTTACATTAGTTGAATAGGATTTATACACCTATGCACATATATTACTTCTTATGAGAAGTTTTCCCCAAAAGTTACCTGTTTGGGACATGTTTGGTACATGGAATAATTTCTATCATCTTGCACAACAGTCTCTATACCAAAGTGTTTATTGATTTAACTTTAATTTCTTGATTTACAAATGACAGGGGATAAGTGGAAGAGCAAAGCTTGCAAATGTATCGCCTCTCTTGTGGTTAACATGACTTAGACATCAGACATAGGGGTAATGTCACTGCACCAACTTCTCTTACTAGAAGACTCCAGTAGTTGGCCTGCAACCCTCTCTTTATTAGTTCTTCCCCTGCCATATCCTAAACAGGATATGAAGCATCATCAGTGCTGAGGCAAGATTCCAGGCTTACCAGGATGAGTAAGCACTGGCATTCCAAAGAGGGCCTCAATCTTACAAATTAAAGTGAAGGTATCATCTAGTACAACTACAACAATTGTTACAATACGTAAAGCTCAACCCACTTTTTTGTGCCCAGCTCCTATGTAGGCATAGTTTGCAAACATGCATTCTGCTCTTCTGAAGATGGTGAAAAGCTTTGAGAAATGAGTACACAGCAGTTGGAATTCAAGAATAGTTCTGACACTAAGTAGTTTCCACTCTATCTTAAAGACCTAATATGTATCTTAGAAAGTAATTCAATAAGAAAGAAAAGGTCAGACACTGTAAATACCAGGATTATTGCCTATAAATCTGCCAGTGACTTCATACTTGTTTTGAGACCCAAAGGAATAGATTAATCCTTTACTGTCATATCTTACTTCTCCATACCTTTCTCAGGGAAGCAGACTTTTGGAGAAAACTATCTAAACATATGTGAAAACTGATTGACAAAGTTGTGTGAAAAACACATTCTGAGTTAAGACACTCAACAATAGCAAGACTGACTGGCTACCAGCTCAAGGGGATGGCTGCTTATTTACCAAATAGATAGGCAGGATCTACCACAGATGACTTAAATTTTGATTTTTTTTTGACGGCAGGGGGGTGCTTTTAATGTGAGTTGTTTTCAACTAATGTCAGGTCTCAACTGGGTGCAGGATCCTATCCCATTATTTACTTTTATAAAACTCTTTTATCCTTAAGGTAGAAAGAAAGAATCACACAAATCACAAAGGCCATTTTTTACTTTAAATAACCTAAAATCAACTAAAACTGTTCTGAGTTCAGAACTTGTTGGGTTCTGAAAACCATGCAGGGTCTATATAAGGGACATAATACTAAGAAATCAAGGAGTGAAGGAACCTGGTGTTTCAGAAGGCAATGGATTTTAAACAGAATCACACTAGAATGGGAATAGGGATTTTTTCTGGTTGGTGTTTTGCTTTGTTTCTGTTTTTATGTTAATCCTTATCCCACAGAAAAGGGGCTGGCATATGGAAGTGTATCAGTTATAGGGACAGAAGGCTTCATGTTTAAATTTTTATTACTTTGGTTATGATGATCAACACATCTTCACAGAGTCACTAATATGAATCCGCGTAAGGGTTTGGGGTGACAAGACGACGAAAGAAAGTTGTATGACAAAATCCAGCAGTACGACATTAATACCTACCTTGGGAATAGCCAGCTTGTCTTTTTCGGAGTTTTCTTCAGAATCAGAACAGGTATAGTTTTCACTGAAGGAAACGACAGGATTCACTCTGGGCTTGTGAATGGCCTGGAAGGTGAGCTGGGTGCTGAGCAGGTTGCTTACTGCCCTCAAAGACGTGCACACATTGGGGGGCAGAGAGGGGTCTGCCAGGAGGTCAGTAATGAGGCCGTGAGCCTCACCCATCACGGCAATATCCACAGTGATACTGGTTCCTGAAGACTGAGACACCAAACAAAGGAATGGTCAGCTGGAAAGGCCTGAACCTGAAGGACAGAAAATGAAATGGGGCTTTTTCTGAAAAACAGACTGAGTTGACCTTTTAGGACGGCAGTAAAGTAACATTCAAATCACATTTCTATTTCAAATTCTGCCAAAATCTGCCATGGTTTTTGCCATTTTTGTGTTCATGGTGCATTTTTAAATGCTGGAACTTGGGGAGGACATATTTGGTGAGATTAAAAAGATAAACACTGGTTTTTAAAATGCAAGAAGTTTCAGACAGCTGGGAAAACTTCATATCAATCACTCTTTATAAAGAACTTTACATTTTGATGCATGTTATTTAGAAATATCATCCTGAAAGTAAAATTAATTAATATGCTATAAAATTTTATTTTCAGCATTTTTAGAATTAAAGTATCATTGATATACAATCTTATGAAGGTTTCACATGAACAATATTGTGGTTTCAACATTCACCCATATTATCAAGTCCTCCCCCATACCCATTGCAGTCACGTTCTATCAGTGTAGTGAGATAATTTTAGCAATATTGTAATGTGATCTTTGAGCCGGGCACATGGTTATTATTCCACTAATATTAGAGATAAGCACAAAAAGCAAGTTAATTTGTGTTCAAGGTCACAAGTTCTTCCCTCTTCTGTGGTTGGTAAGATGAGAAATTTAGTTCTGGAATTCCATGGCGCATCTGTCATATTCTACTAAACTAAAAAACAGAGGATAGGAATGTTCTTCACCCCGATGGTCAGGCCAGAGTACAAGCAAGAGGAAAGTGTGACAGCGAGGGCAAGCATGAGGGGCTGGATAAGCTTGCACACAACAGGCAGAGGACCATTAATATTGGGAGGTTGCCACAGTATGAGGCACAAGGAACCTACACAACTTTAAATTGTAGAGCACAGGGATTGGAGTGCAAGTTCTGGAACTAAGCCACCTACATCCAAATCCTGACTCCTGACCCTCCCACCTTCTAGCTGCATGATCTCTAGCAGGTTTCTAAGCTCATCATCCTGGGATTTCCCCATCTGTAAGATGGATATAGTAATAGTATCAACCTCAGAAGGTAATTAGAAGAATTAGAAGGGATAATATATGTAGAACACTTAATATTGTGCTGGCATTTACAAATGCTCAACAGTAATAATGGTATAAATAATAATTATAATAAAAATTTTGGAATTTTTCAGTAAGAGGCTATTAGAAGTTTGGCTATATATTTGGAAGAAAAACAAGTTTTAATCATTCTCTTAAAATAAACTTTTAAAAATAACTCCAGAGAGATGAAAAATTTTAATGAAATTATAAGCTTAAAAGAAAGTATGAGATATTAATTAATAATCTTGCAATGTTAATAATATGAATTCACAAACTGTCAAGGAAACATCAGATGGATCTGGCTACATAAACTTCTACATAAGAAAATGTACCATAAGCAAAGGTAAAAAAAAAATATAAGGAAATGTTTGTCCCAAAGAGATGTCAATACATACCCAAATGAAGTGTTTCTAAAAATAACAATAAAAGACAAATCTGAGTAAAGGGAATTAACAGACAACTCAAACAAAATATAAATAATCAAATATATAAAAAGCAACTTGCCTTTCCAATTTTTAAAAATTCATATTAACATAAAAACTTTTGTTTATCAAGATGGCAAAATAATAAGAGATTGACAGCCACATATAAGTAAAAGCTCGGGGAAATAAGCAGTGAATAAAAAACATCCAATATTTTTAGAAGGGCATTTTGCTGAGTCTATCAATTTTGTTTAAATGTATGTATCCTATGAGCCAGTAAAACAATGTAGACATATGGTCTAAAGAAAAGTGACAAATATGTAAATATATACGGACAAAGACCCATAGGATTACAACAGTGCTCTAACAACAGCCACCAAGTAATGTAGCCGTAAATGCCTATCAGTAGAGAAAAATGTTAAAAAGAAATTTGTATTAAAACTATATATTGTAGGAGCTGGCAGAAAAAGATGGCAGCATGAGAAGTGAGGCAGAAATCTCCCAAAACCACATAGAACATGAAAATAGAGCAAATGCAACTAATCCTGAAAAAGTGACCTGAAGACTGTAGAACAGACTGCCTACATCTGGGGAAAAGAGAAGACCTCACAGAAAAGGGTAAAGTAGCAAAGCTGTGATCTGGTGGGACCCAAGCCCTCCCCCAACTCAGCCCACAAGTAGGAGGAAGAGAAACAGAGCAAGGAGGGAGGAGAAGCCCAGTATTGCTGAATGTCAGCCCTGGAGATCTGCTCCAGGAGCACAAACCCACATTACATGGTGTCCTGGAGATTAGAGGGGTTGAAAAGCAAAGATGGGTGGAATACTCAGAAAAACTGAAATTCCAGCTGCTTGTGAAGAACGGATCCACACAACTAGCCCCCCTGGGAAAAAAGAAAGGCAAGCAGTTAGAAGGATTTATCAGCAGTGAAAGGGGCACTAAAGGGGCAAAGATTACATAGAACTTGCAGCTCAGGATAAAGGGCAGGTAGACAAAATCCTCCCTGCATGCTCAGCCCAGCAGTTGGGAACTATCAGAAGTTTCAGATGCTCCACCCCCCTGGCTGGCAACACAGCCCTGAGACTCCCTACTGTGGTATATAGCCTGACACTCCTTCCTACTGGCAGACACAGATTCTGCTCACCTGCTGCCCCACCATCACACCAGACTAGCCAGAGGGTGGTTGCACACAAGAGAGCTACAGGGGCATAGCACAAAGGCTCCTCTCTGCATGCTCAGACCACTGGACTTGGCAGTGGAGGCAGGCCTTACAGATGGGAAGGCAGGAAGAGCTCTTTCCTCCTGGCAGGCACTGGTTCCACTCGCCTGTGACCCCTGCCATTACTGGAGCCCCTTGGCAGCTCCAGAGAGTTAGAGCTTCTGGGCACTAGAGAGCACTGCCTACATAAAGTTATCATTCCATAGAAAAAAACTAAAAAAGTGAAATGGCAAAGAAATTTGGTCAAAAAAAATTACAGGAAAAAATGCCAGAAAGAGAGCTCAGTGAAACTAAAATCTCCAATCATCTTGATAAAGATTTCAAAATAAAGGTCATAAATATGCTCACTGAGCTACAGAAAAATAATCAAGATCTCAGGGAGGACTTCAACAAAGAGATAGAAACCTTGAAAAATATAGTATCTCAAATGAAACATACAATGGAGGGATTTAAAAGTAGATTAGATGAGGTAGAGGAGATGGTTCATGAAATAGATTTTAGAGAACAGGAATACAAATAAGCTGAGGCACAGGGAGAAAAAGGGATTTCTAGGAAAAGAATAATAAAAGAGATGTGTGACCAATTCAAACATAATAGGCCTACCAGAAGAAGAGAAAAGAGAAAAAGGGATAGAAAGTGTCTTTGAGGAAATAATTGCTGAAAACTTTCCAAATCTGGGGAAGGAAACAGTCTCCCAGGTCATGGAAGTGCAGAGATCTCCCAATGCAAGGAACTGTAGGAAGATAACACCAAGACATATAATAATTAAAATGACAAAGATCAAGGACAAGGAGAGAGTATAGAAAGCAGCCAGAGAGAGAAAGATCACTTATAAAGGAAACCCTATCAGGCTATAAGCATATCTCTCAGCAGAAACCTTACAGGCTAGAAGGGAGTGGAATGATATAGTTCATGTGGTGATACTAAAGGGCCTCCAACCAAGAATACTCTACCCAGCAAGATTATCATTTAAATTTGAAGCAGGGATTAAATTATCAGATAAAAAATAGTTGAAGGAAGTCACCACCACTAAGCTAGCCCTACAGGACATGTAAAAGGAACTGTTCTAGATGAAAATGTTCCTAAGGCTAAATAGCTGTCACCAGTGAAAATAAACCCACAGTAAAGAAAGCAGACCAATTAATCACGAAGCAAATACAAAATTAAATGAACTACTCACAAAGGTAGTCAAGGGATACACAAAGAGTACAGAATATGACACCTAATATATATAAAAATGGAGGAGGAAGAAGAAGGGGAGAAAAAAAGAACCTTTAGATTGTGCTTGAAATAGTGTAATAAGCAAATTAAATTACTGTTAAATAGTAAGGAATTTGCCCTTGAACCTTTGGTAACCATGAATCTAAACCCTGCAATGGCAATAAGTATTTACCTATCGATAATCACCCTAAATGTAAATGGACTGAATGCACCAATCAGAAGACATAGAGTTACACAATGTTTAAAAAAACAAGACCCATCTATATGTTGCCTACAAGAGACTTACTTCCAACCAAAGGACAGACAGACGAAAAGTGAAGGGATGGAAAAAGATCTTCCATGCAAATAATAGGAAGAAAAAAGCAGGGTAGCAGTACTTATATCAGACAAAACAGACTTCAAAACAAAGAAAGTAACAAGAGACAAAGAAGGACATTACATAATGATAAAGAGGTCAGTCCAACAAGAAGATATGAGCATTAGAAATATCTATGCACCCAACATAGGAAGACTTAAATATGTGAAACAAATACTAACATAATTAAAAGGGGAAATAGAATGCAATGCATTCATTCTAGGAGACTCCAACACACCACTCATGCCAAAAGACAGATCAACCAGACAGAAAATAAGTAAGGAGACAGAGGCACTGAACAATGCATTAGAACACACGGACCCAACAGACATCTACAGAGCACTCCACTCAAAAGTGGTAAGATACACATTCTTCTCAAGTGTAAATGGAACAAATTCCAGAATAGATCACTTACAAGGGCACAAAAAGAGCCTCAGTAAATTAAAAAAGATTAAAATTGTGCCAACCAGCTTCTCACACCAAAACGGTATGAAACTAGAAATAAATTATGCAAAGAAAACAAAAAAAAATCACAAACATATGGAGGCTTAACAACATGCTTCTAATAAATGGATCAGTAACCAAATTAAAATAGAGATCAAGCAAAATGTGGAGACAAATGGAAACAACACCCCAAAACCTATGGGGATACAGTGAAGGCAGGTCTAA